CCAGTTTTATTAAGTAAAGACTTGTGTCGTTAAAGTTTCGTCAGAACGAAGTTACGGAAAAATCAATTACCAATCGGATGACTTAACAGCATCAATATCTGCAGTTTATTTGATTTTTATTATAGTTCTCTCTTAGTTTCACAAATACCAGAAATTCAAAAGTTAGTGTAAGTAGCTTCCAACAAACATTATGTTATCAATTAGATATCAGTTTCATTCTTGCCTATACTGAGAGTACAGAGGATCTATCACTTAATATACATATTTTTTTCTAATCTTTCTTTTCAATGATATCCTCACTGATCCATCATCACACATTTCTCTATCCCTTGATCCACAAATATCACGTTAGTGTCAAAACCAGTTTACTGTGTATTTGTATAATCCTTAGAATACCATGTTTTCAAATACATTTGTAAAACCTAAGCCTCATAATTTTAATTATACTTTCAAGGCTTGCCCTTGGGACTCTTGACTTGTGGACAATGATTTACCATATGAATTGTTAGGTCTCAACTCCTACAGTGTCATCCCACATATGCAAAGTTCCTCAATTCTACATCAAGACACAGCAAGAATATATCGACACACACATACACGTGCCGTGCACACAGACCAGTTGGATGACTTCTGAGAGAAACATATGCACAAATGGCTTGATTTATCATCTACTCAGATGGTTTTAAATGATCAATTACTACTAGGCAGCACAACTCATGAAGATGTTATAAAATCTACCTTGAATGGCACTTAAATCCAGGACCTTCGGCTCATGCAAGGGCCCTAAGATTAATGCTCTATCGAAGTAACATCTGATCCTAACTGTTGTTTGTTTTAAATATAAGTGACTCTTTAATTATTTACCCTTACATCATCAACTTATTTTATGGATTTTTACTATATATATTTTATATGATCCAGTCTATAGAATTAATTAAACCTAAACTTTCTTTAGCCTTTGTTTTCAATATGTATAAAAAAAACCAGTAAGTTAGTGTACTCACTTTCTTTCAACAGGCACAATTTATGTCAATGTATGAAAACACTACTTGCATAAAGTTGAAGTTTGGTCCTGGTATATCTTATATCAACTGATTGGTTGACATTAAGAAAGTTTATTAATACACTTTCTATTACAATAATCATTGTTATTGAAATACGTTAATACCTTATACTAATGAAGCAAAGGGAAATTTTTGAGGAAATTTCATCCATTGCTTCTATGAATTTGAATACCA